ACTTAATCTCCTGGAGGTGCGGAACCCAGTGTTTGGTCAGAAGGGGATATTTTGGTCCCATTGTGAAACCTATCCTCTTAGAACACTGCAGACTTGTATAGTAACAAAAAAAACAACAACAAAAACAAAACCTCCCCAAAACTGAAAGCAGCCTAGGGACCAGGTGGGGAGGAGGTCTTTGTGGATGGCCTCTCTGCACTGAGCTGAACTTTGCCATCAAACTGTAACCTCTCGTGCTGAAACTTTAAGTGAGCCCTTTATGCTTAGACATGCAGGAGGCCCAATTCATGAACCCTTTTCCTCTTCTGGTCCTGAACACAGAAGCTCCTTTGCAGTCTTTCAACATACTGCCCCATACCAGGGTGCACGTGTCTTGCATATCAAAATTGTCAAGCTGGCTGCTAATCAAAAGTCATCCCTTTTACATTTTGGTCATATTTCCTGAGCCCCAATAAGGTAAAAAGGTCTAGGGGGCTGGATTGGGAGGAAGAGCTGCTGGTCAGGTTTAGAATTCTGTTAACATCTCTGTCCTTCCTTGGGAGTCACTAGCACCAAGGATGTCTGAAGGTTGAGCCAGTTAAAATTTCATATTATGGACTTGATTCCTAGGGGTTATTTATTTTGTGGTACACTGGCGAATATTATACTCAATTTGGGTCTGCCATAATCAGTTCTCTGTGTGGTATGGCCCATTCTTTTATTTACTCCCATGCACGTTGGGGAATGTCTTTAGAATGAAAATCCTAATTATCTCCCCAACCTCAGTCCTTAGGAGGATGGAGCAGGCAGGTCTCCTGATGCTGGAATTTCTATTGTTTTGAGCCACAAAGCTGTGGACCAAGCAGAGGTGAGGAGCTGCAGGGCTTGGCAAGGGGGAAGGGAAGGGTAGGCTGAGGGGTTGGGGATGCTCCCTCGGATGCCTTAGGTTGGACTCACAAGCCCTAGAGTGAGAGACAGGCCCCAGATGGAGGCAGTGCTGAGCCTACTAAGTGGGTGTGTCATGGCTCCACCTTGAGACCACACGGCTTTCCCCCTAGAAACAGACAGGTGCATGCATCTTGCTCCATGGGGCTCCAAGTCAGCGCTCACCATTTGCTCAGAGCGTGAGGTTGACTCCCAGACCACGAGCCCCCACGCCCTGCCCCAAGCTCCAAGTCGCCCAGGTCCTGCTGCTCCCTTACACTTCGACAACCCAGATCATGTCTCTGCTTATATGTAGATGGCGCCATGCCCTTTGGCATTTGACGTTCCCTGGCAAACCTCTCAGCTGCCTTCACCACCCAGCCGGGAAGCTCAAGCTGCCAGGAGGCTGAGTCCCACAGGCCATCTCCGGGCTGCCAAGGCCCTCTGTCACCACTCCATGTGTGCCCCACTCCATTCATTATTTTTGCTTCTCCATTTACCCCACTAGACCATGACCTTCTTTGTTATGAGGTCTGTGTCTTTGTCCCCAGCACCAGGACCCAACTGAGCACAGAACGGGCACTGAATCCCTTTTAACCAGACAATTTTAAATCACATTTCTAGGTACTGGATGTGCCCGAGAAAATTTAAGCACTGGGGTAGGACATCTTCACATATTTCTTATGCAGGTTTTGCTATTTAGAAATAAAATTTGCAAATGGACTATGAAGGGCCGAAGGCTTATCAAGTGGCATAAAGACTACAACAAATAAAGCTGACCCTCCACATGCGTGTGCCACACGGCCTCAAGGTCAAGGCAGCCTTATCTCAGGCTCCGGGGCTTTGTCCTGGATCTCCTGTCACCTCCACAAGGGGAGTTCTGGAGAGGCCCCTCAGACAGCACAAAGCCCCGAGGCTATCCTGCCAGGGTCTGCAAAGACAACTTGTGAACTGCCTGGGGACTTCTCCTGGGGAAACTCCAGAGTCTCCTGGTGTTACCATTGTGACAAAGAGAATACGAAAGCCCTAAGGAGAGACCCTGGGTGACTCCTGAGGGGGCGATACCAGCTGGCTGTGTTTAATTTTCTGTGGCTTTGAAGCTTCTGAATCCACGCCACTATGTGGGAAGCAAACATTTTCTTTAGCAGCCAAAGCCCTTCGAGGTTAATGTTCTTTTTCTTTTTTCTTTTCTTTTTTTTTTTTGAGACAGAGGGTCTCACTCTGTCAGCCAGGCTGGAGTGCAGTGGTGTGATCATGGTTCATTGCAGCCCCAACGCCCTGGGCTCAAGAGATCCTCCCACTTCAGCCTCTGGAGTAGCTGGCACCACACGTGCGCGCCACCACGCCTGGAGAACTTTTGTATTTTTTTGTGGAGAAGGGTGTTGTCATGTTGTCCAGGCTGGTCTCAAACTCCTGGACTCAAGCTATCCTCCCATCTTGGCCTTCCCAAGGGCTGGGATTACAGGTATGAGCCACTGCACCGGTGTTAATGCTTGTCTCGATGTTGCCTTAGGCTCTTAACACTCACACCAACAGGAGGAAGGGCCCAGCACAGAGCTGCCCTGCTAGGGCTTGCGGGGTGCTCAGCCCCAAATTGTTTTATTCTAGAATCCACTAAGAAGATGCCAGTTCTTTTGAGGCAGATTTCCAGTTTAAATTCACCTCTCTTCTCCCGCAGGCATCTCCAAGGCCAGGAGCTGCAGCGTGCTTGGCAAAGAGTGGGCTCTGAAGACAGCTGGGGCTGGGCTCGGGTCCCAGCTTCACCCTACAGTGGGCCCTGGGCACGTGGGCAGGCGGCTCCACCTGCTGTGGCCGAGCTGTCCTTTCGCTGGACGGGACAACAGGGGGCGTGTGCTGAAAGAGGTGTGTCTGCACCTAGTGGATTCACAGTGCATTGAAGTGCATTGTGCTTCATTTGCTTAGTATGCACTGGTCACTACCGTCTGCACTACAATTCCCAGCATGAAGACAAATCAACAACAACAGCAACAACCACAAAGCGCCATCCCTCCCTTCCCCTGGGCCCTGAGGGAGCGCGCATTCCACAAAGCAGGAGCCCGCGCCTCTGCTCAGCCAGTCTCCAGAAGATGTAGCCTGGAGAAGTCTGTCTCTTGATGCTAGAAGCCAGGACGAGCGGCAGCCACCTGTGCAGGCCCAGAGGTGGGGGGCTACAGCTGTTGTGTGCCGCTCCGGTAGTCAGAGGCGAGCACCCACTCTGCCTACACCATTCTCAATGCTCGGCTCAGCAAGTGCATTTCTTGTTTCTGAACAATGATCACTGTTTGCATGGATGGCTGTCAGACAGGAATCACCCAGCTGAGGAAGCCTGGCGGAAAGATGGCCAGGTGAAAGGTGATCTTTAGTTAGATAGATGCAGACCAAAAGCTTGAAGGTTCTAAAAGCAGCCCAGGTGAAAATCGTGGGCCCTGAACCGCCTAGATTAGAATGCTGCTTTGCCACATTCTAGGTGTAGGACTGGCCAAGTGGCTCGGTCACTGTGTGTGACCTTCTTCATCTAGAAACTAGGGCAGATATGAGGGCCTAAGGAATAGTTTTGCTTTTTAATGATTATAGATGAAAAATGCACATGAAATGCTTAGAAAGTCATTGACATAAAGTACAGGCTGAGTAAATGATTTGCTGAAATACACTCATGCTTTGCTAATGACAGGGATATGTTCTGAGAAACATGTCGCTGGGTGATTTTGTCATTGTGTGAACATTGTAGAGTGAACTTAAACCGAGATACTACAGCCTACTACACAGCTCTGCCATACGGTATACCCTACTGTGACTAGGCTACAAACCTGTACGACATGTCTGTAAGGTACCATGTGACTATAATAAATACCACAGGCAAATGCAACACAATGGTGAGTATTTGTGTATCTAAACAAAGAAAAGTTACAGAAAAACACAGCATATAGTCTGTGGTTATGTAGTGCGTGACTATAATTCTTTCTTTTCTTTTTTTTTGAAAGGAGGTCTTGCCATGTTGCCCAGACTGGAGTGCATGGCAATTCACAGGTATGACGATGGTGCACTGCAGCCTTGACCTCCTGGGCTCAAGTGATCTTCCTGCCTCAGCCTCCCAAGTAGCTGCTATTACCACTACTGGCTGAGGACCAGAGCCCAGCTCATGACTATAATTCTTACTCTCCAGAGATAAGGTGCTTTGGATTTGCCCTGAAAGTGAGATACAGACTCACAGGATATGAGAAAGAGCAGCTGCCGCCTTCTGAAACTCTTTCTGGAATCTCTAACCTCAGTTAGCAGCATGGAGTTGGCCAAGCCTTAGAACGGTCGAGATATTGCAGAGTATTTATATAATGACAAACAGTGACTGATGACTCGGCAACACCACAGCAGTTTCAGAACTCTTCTCCAAAGGACTTATGAAAAGAACACCGACAGCAGTGAGAAATTAGTGAAACTGAGGCAAAAAGACAGGAGCAAGACCCTCCGGGTGCCCAAACACGGGAAGGAAGCCCATGCAACAATTGTGTTTCTTGAGACTGAATCATGAGCAGTGCATGATGCAAACTGGGGTTACAGAGCGGAAGGAGCCGGCAAGGATCTCAGCCTTCATGGAGCTTCGGAGATGTTTATTGACGATGATACAAGGTGCCACTTCAGTCCATTCAAAGCTCCTGCCCGGAAGAAGACAGGGGTTTTCTGCTGCCAAGAAGGAACCACCAATAACTCCCCAATGAGTTGTTCAACAATCCCAACAGAGCCAAGAGCTTTCATCAGAAGCTCCTTTCGAATTGAAGAATTAAGCACTAAAGTGAACCATATGTGAAATGACATCAGAATAGTGCACAGCAAAAGGAATTATCTCTGGAAACTGAAATTCTGCGATGCACTAATAGTCCTGAATTACACTGACTTGGAACCTTCCAAGATGAGTCCTGCAATTTTAGATCTTGATTCATGGGTTAGAAAAGGCAAAACCTGATTCATGATTTAAAACCACCCTTTCATTACACAGCGATTACATCTCAATTTGTACCAAGTTGGCTTAGAAACGACATGAAAATTATGCTATTAGAGTTGGAGGCTCCTGCCCGCAGTTTCAGAGCTGGACGAGAACTTACTTGTTAAGGATTTTGGCTCTCTTGGCACTTGAAAAATTCTCCAGTTGCAGGGACTCTTGAGTAAGGAAAGCAACAGCCAGGTGAAAGTAGTTGTTCCACAGCTGAAAACCAAAAAGGAGGAGATGCTAAGTTGTTAAACAGCTTGATACAGGATCTCAACAATGCTCTCAGACATTTATCATTTCCTCAGCACACACTTCTGAAAAGTTAAAAGAACCCCACACTCACTCTATACATGTTGCTAACCAGCCCCCCCACGGTGTAGTTCAGGCCTGGGTGTGTGGGCTCGGAGACCACAGTGCACATATTCAAATCCCGGCTCTGCCATTTACTTGGACAACTACTCTAACCTCTTTCTGCCTCAGTTTCCTCATGGATGAAATGGGAATTTCAAGAGTATCTATCTTACAGGAGTGCTCAGAAGATCAAAGAAGTAAATATATGCACAGAATTTAAGGCGGTATGGTACAGAGCATGTGTAAGCACTTCATCAATGTTAGTTTATTTATTTTATTTATTTATTTATTTATTTATTTTGAGATGGAATCTCCCTCTGTTGCCCAGGCTGGAATGCAGTGGCATGATCTTGGCTCACTGCAACCTCTGTCTCCTGGGTTAAAGCAATTCTCCTGCCTTAGCCTCCTGAGTAGCTGGGATTACAGGTGTGCACCACCATGCCTGGATAATTTTTGTATTTTTAGTAGAGATGGGGTTTCACCACGTTGGCCAGGCTGGTCTCGAACTCCTGACTTCAAGTGATCCACCTCCCTCAGCCTCCCAAAGTGCTGGGATTACAAGTGTTAGCCACCATGCCGGGCCGATGTTAGCTTTTATTAATGTAATTATGAAGCTCTTCAGTTAAGAATAGTATAGATTTCATGCCGGGCATGGTGGCTCACGCCTGTAATCCCAGCACTTTGGGAGGCCGAGGCGGGCGGATCACGAGGTCAGGAGATCAAGACCATCCTGCTAACATGGTGAAACCCTGTCTGTACTAAAAATACAAAAAAGTAGCCGGGCGTGGTGGTGCGCACCTGTAGTCCCAGCTATTTCGAGGCTGAGGCAGGAGAACGGCGTGAACCCGGGAGGCGGAGCTTGCAGTGAACTGAGATCGCGCCACTGCGCTCCAGCTTGGGTTACAAAGTGAGACTCTGTCTCAAAAAAAAAAAAAAAAAAAAAAGAATAGTATAGATTTCCAAAATTTAGGATGCTACTATACCCCCAAATCATATATACACTAGACAAGGAAAACAAATGTAAAAAGATCAAATATTTCGTGTTTCAATACACCCATATTTCAAGGGTTTAGGGACTACATATGTGTGGTTTAAAAGACTATGGCCTTTAGAAGAAAGTTGTGGGTCTCAGTTTTCTCATTTACAAACCAGGGATAATATTTATTATATCAAAGGAGATAGCTGCAAAGAGTTCTATAAAAATAAAGTGTGAACATTATATTGACCCTATTTGTAATGACCTGAGAAGTAAGTGGCAATTTAAGAGCATTTGTAGGATTTGAGAAAAGTCTGTTGGGTTTGCATTTATCCAACACTTCCCATGAATGGCACACTTTCTATAGTCATGCACCAGCTCAATTGATTACCACAGAATAACCAAGTAGGTGCTGTCATCTCCATTGCAGAGCTGAGATTTAGAGACCAGCCCAAAGCTACAGGAAACACATGAAGCAGAATGGGGGTCTGAGCCCGGGACCCCCAACCTCAGAGCCCACAGTGGGGCTCTTTTTTTTAGCCCCCTTTATAAAGAAAGGGGAGCAGCAGTCAATAAAATACAAGTCATTCCTTTTGTTTTTGGGACTCCCACCGATTTCAGCCTTGCCACAGCACCGGCAGGAATCACTGGCTGCAGCCACCTGTATTCTGAGAATCGTGGTCAGGGGCTCAGCCAGAACAGGACCCATGCCTGCAAGGACACAGAACAGATCTTAATTCCTACCTGCTCCCTTTAACAACAACAACAGCAACAGCAGCAACAACAACAAAACACGAATGCTTCTTTTTACATGACAGCTTCACCAACTCCTAATTCGTTCTTTTCCTATATAGGACCAGGACTGCCTTGGAGGCAGAGCACTCATGGTAGCGGTGGTGGTGTTTAAATTAAGATCTGTTCTGGGTACGTGCAGACACGGGTCCTGTTCTAGATGGGCCTCTGACTGTGACTGTCAGAACGCAGCTGACAGCAGGCAGCAATTCCTGCTAAACCCTCCTCAAACAATAAATACGTGTGTCACACCTGCCAAGGGGCAAAGCTCTATGTGGGCCCTGAAGCACATGGCTTGCAAGGTGTCTGGGCTCACGGTGAGAGTCCAAGGGGCCATCCTCATGAAACAGGAAGAAAGCCAGGGAGCACCAGCACGCCGAGAAACAGGCTCCTCCACCAGAGCAGCCACACCTACCACACACAGGAATCTACCCAGCAAGCCACGCAGGAGACCTGACCCAGAAAAAACTAGAAAAAATGGCACAGCAAATACCTAAATGGTCCAGCATGAGATGGGGAAAAAAATACTGCAAAGTATTCCCTCAAATACTATAAACTTCCCCCAAATTTATTTATCAATTCAATGGGATTCCAGCTAAAATCCAAGCGGTATGTTTTTAAAAAAGAAACTCAGCCATCTGATTTTAAACTCTGAATGGAACAGGACATGCACAAAAACAGTCAAGATAATTCTGCAGTAGAAAACAAGTGGAAGGCGGGTCGTGGTGGCGCACGCCTGTAGTCCCAGCACTTTGGCGGGCGGATCACAAGGTCAGGAGATCAAGACCATCCTGGCTAGCACGGTGAAACCCCGTCTCTACTAAAAAATACAAAAAATTAGCCAGGCTTGGTGGCAGGCGCCTGTAGTCCCAGCTACTCAGGAGGCTGGGGCAGGAGAATGGCGTGAACCCGGGAGGCGGAGCTTGCAGTGAACTGAGATCGCACCACTGCACTCCAGCCTGGGAGACAGAGCAAGACTCCGTCTCAAAAAAACAAACAAACAAACAAACAAATAAGTGGAAAAGTAGTGACTCTGCTAGCTGGGCACAAAGGTAAAAGGATTAAGCCTCTATGATATTAACACAAAAAATGGAATTTATACACACATACATTTATAATTATGTTAATTATAATTTCAAATCATTGGAGAAAGGGTCATCTATTCATGAAATGATGTAGTAAGTTAGATCCTTACCCCTATACTAACTACAGAAATCCCAAATGGATTAAACACTTGAAAGGTAAAACAAACACAAAAACACAAAATCACAAAGGTATTAGCAGATTCTAATACAAAATAGTAAAATTTAGAAGTATATAATATTAAGGCAAGGAGAGATTTGCCAAGTAAAACATAAAACCAGACAGCTGTAAAAGAAATACGGATTTTCTACAGATTTCACTGTAGAAAAATGAAATATTTCTATACGATAAGCCTAAAACCATGTCTAGCCTATATCAAGAATTCCAACTTATAAAAAAGGAAGACAGTCAAATACAAACATGAGCAGAAGAAATGATCAGAGAGTTCACAGCAGAAACCCACACAGCTGCTAAGTATTCTTAGCCTAAATAATCATCAGAAAAATGCCAATAAAAACATAAATCCATCATTTTAAAGAAATCAGTGTTGAAGAAGATTCTAGATAGAAAGTGGCTGCTCTCAAACAAGGCTGGTGGGATGGCAAATTGCTAAAATCATGTCAGGAAGGAAAGTGCTCATTTTCCATCAAACTTAAAATGTCGTATCATTTGGCCTAGAGATCAACCTATTCCACAGCAATGCGTGCACTAAGAGGCACATGTATCGCGGCCTTCACGGTAGCACAGCTTGTGATTGTAAAGAACGGGAAACGGCCTCTAGGTTATCAGTGCAGAAATGGCTGAATAAATGTTAGTACATTCACATCGTGAATAAATGTTGGTACGTTCACATCGTGAATAAATGTTGGTACGTTCACATCGTGAATAAATGTTGGTACGTTCACATCGTGGAATACAACAGAGCTGAAAAACACAGAGTATGATCCAGTTCCAGTTCATGTTAAAGGCCAAAAGAAAACACACACAGGCCCATATAAATGCTGAAAGCGCGACCAAGAATTCAGAACAATGAGTTAAAAGTTACTCCTGCAGAGGAGCAGTGAGAAGCAGCAAAGCCGCATGAAGGAATGTTTCCTGTTTTACCTGCTAAACTGATATTCAGCACATATACATTGTATCAGGAGAAAGTATGTTATTATGACATATGAAAACAAGCATTCAGCAGAGAAAATGATAAAAAAAAAAACTACAAACAAGTAACATGTTTAGATATATGGCACCTGATATATTATTATCTAATTCTGTCCTATAATGCCAATATGATAAAAATTTAAAAATTAAAAATTATAAAAATAAGGGCAATGCAAATGGAAAAGCAGGTGGCTATATAATTTTTGCTATTGGGTAACTTATTTTGGGGTTGGATCACCCAATGGGTAAACAAAAATTCTTCGGGTTCCTTTTGAGAGAGTGAACCATGTTGCCCAGGAAATAAACATGCCATTGGTATCTGCATGCCTTTGAAAAATTTGTAAACTATACTAAAATAACAACTAAGTAATAATAATGACCGATAAAATCATTATTAGCAGAAACACATCAAGAGTACAATGGAAGTGAGAGCCACACATTTTGGATGCACAGTAAGAAATCAGGCCAGGCAAAAATCAATCCTCACAGCAGGCATGCACACACACACACACACACACACACATACACATGCTCTCTCTCTCACACTGCGTGCACCAAAGGAGCATTTCCAAGAGACCATGGGGTCTCGGGGGCAGGGTCTCTAGCCTGGTAAAAGCCACTGCTAGTAGCACAAGGCCGAGAGAGGATATGGCGGGAACACAGAGTTATAAAAGCAAGCTGAGCTCGAGGGGCAGACCCGCGTCTCCTCCTCTGCTGATCCTCCCTCCACAGTAAGATGAGCTGAGACAATTTTGGCAGCTACACACACTGGGACTCGGTGGCCTCCCTGCTTGGAGAGTTCCTCCTTGTCACTCTGATTCAATAGCTTCTCTCTGAAACAACGCTATCTCCTTCCTTGCTAAATTAAGCAAATACTCCAAAGGCATAATTTTCACTCCTCAGGTTCCAATAGTACATACTATAAATTCCATTTCCGCATCTTGGATGGGAGACCAATTAAGTTCAAGGATTAGAAATACTGTAAGATATTGGCTCAGACCAGCAATTTGTTCCAACATGATTTCTCCACAAAGGTCGTGTCTACCTCTTCTCTTACCTGTAGCTCAAAGTTGGCTTGATCCAGAAATTTTTTGTTCAGCATATCTGCATACTGATTAATTGCTCGCAGGAAGACTCTGAAAGATCAAGAGAAAATTACATAATTATACACTTACGCTCTGGCACTTTGGTAGGTTTGGCATTTCAATTAGATACAATCCCAGACTGTCTGGAATGTGAACTCTCCAAGTCTTGCACAAAGCTGTGAGGTTTTGCCAATGAAAAGACCACGGAATTATATGCAGATGTTCTCCAAATTAATCAAGGAAATTAGCACATGCAGGATGAAAGAAACAGACCAAAATAACAGCTTCTGAAAGTAACATTTGAAAAGTATCACTTAAAAAAAAATCTAATTTAAAAAAAGAAAAAAAAAGGTGCAAATTAAATCTTTTTCTCAAGTTGCCATGTCTTAATGTTCTATGATGCCACTGATCTTTGCTTAGCTGGCTTTTTCAAGTTACCCATTTGAAAGCACTCTTCGCAGGGGCTATCAGGCTTGGAAGAGGTTGCTGCGATATCTCTAGGCTTGGAAGCATCACTTACGACTTCAGTATCACTGGCCTACTTTCCGCATGCTAATTTTGACCACTATTTTACTAGAGAAAAAGTTAAAAGCTTTAGTAGACATGAAAGTGATTTGACAAGAATTTCATCAGGAATTTTAATTTCTTGATTCATTGATAATGTATAATTTTAACACTCTATAATACCATGACTTTATATACTTTTTATAATGAAATATACAATTTGGACGATCACACATGACTCTAGAATACTGTTTCTCACATTCTTAATCATTCAATAGATTTGTTTCATAACCCTTAAAAGTGTTGACAATACTAAAGCTTCGTCCACTACTTTTTCAATGGCCCTTATCCCTTTGCACAAAGGCAGGATGCAAGAGGAATTAGCATTAGGTCACAGATAATAAACTTAATTCCACTTTCTCTATTTAGACAGCAGGGAACAGCCAGAGTAGAAGGGAAATGTAGGTTACTTACTAGTAACTGCTGTCCTCTGACAGCGTTATCTCTTCAGCTAAGTGAGCCTGGAGAAGCTCCCCATGCCCTGGCCATGTCACAGCTGCTAAAAGGCAGTGAGCCAGGAAGGAGGGAAGAAGAAATTCACCACCTGGGGTTTTAAGGAGGTCTCCATCACCACCTTCCACCACCACCTCCCGCCCATCACCTGCGGTCACTGCAGATTCTCTCACACTCACACCGCCTGCCGCTCTGAGAAAGGGATTTGCAGACATTATTTCATTAAGAAACCTATCAGCTGGATCTGGGACCAAAACAGCTACGACAAAGGGCCCGTCACGGAGTTTGCTCTTTTGGTCACTAAAGAAACTGTAGGCAGAGTTATTTGACTTCTTCCCTGGGGACATTAAAATATAACCAGAAAGGAGGAATGAGTGTTTTTAAGTGACTATTAATGGAGAGACGCAGGCATTGCTGCCCTGTCCATTAACCAAGAGCACGGGTTGGGCAGCAACATTCCTTAGCCGCAGGGTATGCCCGGTTAAATTTGAATAATAGCTCTTATTGCTGAATTCTGTAATTGATTGGAAAAAAGAAAAGCTGAATACAGGACATTTAGGGCATCCTGACAAATTAATAAAGGATCCAGGACAAAAGTTGCAAAATTCAGGACATACTTTGCATCTAGTGGATGTCTGGCAACTCTAATCAGCCCCCAGTCTTGGGCTGGGGTCTGTCCTGTCACCTTCAGCCCCCGGAAGTACAGGGTATGAGCTAGAGAGATAGTCTAAGTAACCCATCTGACCTTGGTAACTGTGTTGAGAGAGCCTCTGGGGATGTACACGCAGCAACCCCAGGGATCACAGAAGAGCCCCCAAGTATCAGTGGAATACAACACCTTGTCATTACAGGGTGGGCTGTGCCATGATGCATAAGGACATGGGGCTTCTGACCACTCACACAGTTTTTTTTTTTCACTCATTTTTTTCCTTCAGCTTTAGAACTCTGCTATTTGCAGAGTACCCTAGGGTCCTCATGGGCTTTAAGAAGACACTCTTTCCAGCCCTCTATGACAATAATGACAAGTTTACTAAAACACACATTATTATTATAGGGTAATTATTTTGCCTCAAGATAGCACCTAAACAGTTGCAATATGCTACTTCTAATTAAGCTCTGGGACAATTGCAGCTAGTTAAATAAAGACAGTTCTCAAAATGACTTTTAAAAAAATGTGTTGGCCAGACGCGGTGGCTTATGCCTGTAATCCCAGCACTTTGGGAGGCCAAGGCAGGCAGATCACGAGGTCAGGAGATCGAGACCATCCTGGCTAACACAGTGAAATCCTGTCTCTATTAAAAATACAAAAAAGTAGCCGGGTGTGGTGGCAGGCGCCTGTAGTCCCAGCTACTCGGGAGGCTGAGGCAGGAGAATGGCATGAACCTGGGAGGCGGAGCTTGCAGTGAGCCGAGATCGCGCCACTGCACTCCAGCCTGGGCGACAGAGCGAGACTCCGTCTCAAAAAAAAAAATATAACTAATATAGGTATAATATACATAACACCACACACACACACACACACACACCCCATGCTAAAATAATGTGAAGGCTGAACAAAAACTTTTTAAGAAACTGACAACTGAGAAAGTGCAGGGCTGAGAGGCAGATTCTGCAATTCAGATTCCCTATAAATTTTTTAAAATGCCAGAACAAAAACAACATGGAAATTCAAGTAGCATGAGGAAAATTGAAGGAAAGATCAAATGAAACCATAATCAGTGCAGTAAACAAAGATCAGATGGTGCTTGGGCTCAACGCGTCAAGGGCTGTGTCACTTGCACAGAAACTTCCAGGACACACATAAATGATCTGCTACAGCCCACACGTGACGGGACGGAAACACAGCTACGCCTCGGGCCAGTCACCTAACGAGGCAAGGAGAAACATAACCAGAGACTAACTTTTAGGTAAGAAAATCTATTAGTCAGCCGTGTGTGGTGTGGGAGGCCAAGGTGGGCAGATCATCTGAGGTCAGGAGTTCAAGACCAGCCTGGCCAACATGGTGAAACTCTGTCTCTACTTAAAAACAAACAAACAAAAATTACAGGCTGGGCGCGGTGGCTCACGCCTGTAATCCCAGCACTTTGGGAGGCCGAGGCAGGCAGATCATGAGGTCAGGAGATCGAGACCATCCTGGCTAACACAGTGAAACCCCGTTTCTACTAAAAAATACAAAAAAGTTAGCCAGGCATTGTGGTGGGCGCCTGTAGTCCCAGCTACTCGGGAGGCTGAGGCAGGAGAATGGCATGAACCTGGGAGGTGGAGCTTGCAGTGAGCTGAAACTGTGCCACTGCACTCCAGCGTGGGCGATAGAGTGAGACTCCGTCTAAAAAAAAAAAAGAAATACAAAAACTAGCTGGGCGTGGTGGTGTGCACCTGTAATCCCAGCTACTCAGGAGGCTGAGGCAGGAGAATCACTGGAACCCAGGAGGCAGACGCTGCAGTGAGCTGAGACTGTGCCACTGCACTCCAGCCCGGGTGACAGAGCAAGACTCCATCTCAAAAAAAAAAACAAAAAAAAACCCACAAAAAGTATTAGTTACTGTAATTCATAAGTTATCTCTAATAAATGTGAAAGTAGGGAAAATAAATAAGAAAATCAAATGAGAAGCGTTTGCATACCAATCTGCTTTCTGTTACAGAGGAATATGAGAAGGATCGCAGGCTAAGCCAAGTGTTTGCATGGGAGGCTGCCTTGCCAAAACTACATGAAGGGCTCTACACAGTGCGGGATCCTAGTCCTTTGTCCAGCAGGCAATCCTAGGGCGTGCGGGGTATGAATGTGCCTGACTCTGCATCCTGACGACTCTACCTGTGCTGGACGCTGCTGGAGTTGGCTTTAGGTAAGAGAAGCCCTCCAGATTGTGAGTAAAGCGTAGGTATTTCGAAGGCAGTGGCCACATCTGCTTGTTCACCCAAGTGTCCTCAGTGCTGAGTCAGCATTTGGTGCACAGTATACACTCACTAGGTAACGGACACAGGAATGAATGAGTAAGTGGATGGAAGAATAAGTGAATGAATGAATGGATGAAGGAGCTGGCTCAGAAGGTCAGGCTCTGGCCCAAGTGGGAGCCTCAGTATTTGGGAGGCTAGAGTATTTGGCTGCCTCTGGCTCTCCTAGAGTCCTTGCAGAAAATCAGGCAGGTTTTCTGTGGTGGGATTCAGCTCTCTTCAGGTTCTTCTTATGCAAACTTCTCATTAGGGATTCTACCAGAAACACCAGAAACTCAGGGGGAAGGGATCAAACACCTTATGAACCACACACGTTATGAAGTTATGTCTTATTCTGAGCCCGGAGAATTAAGTAATTTCTAAAAAAAAAAAAAAAAAAAAAAAAAAAAAAAAACAAATGCTGTGAGAATTAAATGCTTCCAAGAATGCTGTCCTAAAAATGGTCAAAATCTATGGAAGGATTATTGGTAATCTAAAATTCAGGAGATAAAACCAAACGTACAAATAAATAATCCCGAAAGAATCACAGGGAAATTATGTCAACCTAAAAAGATTCAAAAAGCGATAAGGTCTCGAAGCCTGTGAATTTTATTTTTAATGGCTCAATGGAGAGAAATGTTATCTCTTCTTCGTAATTGATTCCTGTCTCCAGGAAGCCAGAAGCATCATCTTTATCAAACTTGTCATAACATTATCCACTTAAAAAAATGTGAGGCCAATAGGAAAGGGAGACGGGTTCACTCCCAAGCCAATGCAATTAAAACAACAACAACAAACCAGCAAGCTTTCCTGACTTCTTTCTCTGCTATCCTGGACATTTAACCCCATTCGAAACAAAAACTACTAATTCTTGACAGTGTCAAACATGAGTTTAATTGTAGCCTACACATACACACATTTGTAAAATTAAAGTCTTAATTCACGTATATCTATCGATGACTTCATGTCCATTTAAACATGGAGCTACCTGACCTTCAGAATGTTGTTCAGCACCACCAAGAAACGAGATGTGAGGGAACAGACATGTGAATTCGTTGGATTTAATCATTCCACGATGAATGCATGTATCGTAACATCCACTG